GACACACAGACACATGCCCAATGGGCATTTTAGAGATGCCAGTTAGCCTGGCTATTTGCCTTTTGGACTGCGGGAGGAAACTGGAGTACCTGGATGAAACATTTATGACAGAAAATGCAGAGACACAGACAGACAGGAAGTGGGATCTGAACACCACTGCACCCTGGGACGTGGTGTGCCAACAGTGACAACATGTCATCCTGCAACCTTATCCAATCAAGTACAATTTTACTCTTTATAGTACCTGGGCACAATGGTCAGTTATTTAGTGAACGGAGTGAATGACATACAGGTCTCTGTATTAATTTTGGCCCCTATTACGCCTCCGCACCTTAAGAAAAAAAACATAGATTGACACCTGGGGTGTGGGGGGAGGGAATGGGGGTTCCATGAAGTATGATTTCTCAGTTAGTTGGGTGAACTTAAGTTAGAAGCCGTGATTTAGGTGAGGAGCATTCCTATTGGACAATCATAAGGGTTTTGTAAGGAGCATTCCTATTGGACAATCATGACTTCTAGCTTAAGGTGACCCAGCTGACTGAGAAGTCCTGCTTCGTGGAACACGCTGCTGCTGACAGAGTTCTTATGATGATTTATTTTTAAGAGAAATGGTCACTCAACACAGCAGCCCTTGTGGAACCTGAACGTGTACATCGGGACCCTTTCACTGACCTCTGGATACAGCAGGTTTTCTCATGGTCTGGGACTGGAAAACTCAGGAAACTACGAATGAATTATCGGAAGCTTCAATAAATTCCTACAGATCACCCCCTTTTTTTTGTCATACTGAGGGGTGTTTATGAAAGGTCCCCCTGAGCATTGGGCGGTATCAGTTAAGCCGCGTCAGTGTTTGCACGCCACAGGCTTAAATCATTGGCATGAACCTTGCAAAGAGGCTGATGTTTAGCACAGGGGTACACATCCCCACGGCTGGTGAAATACTGCACGAGCTGGCCGACACGACGCATTTACGGCACGCCGAGCTGCACGTTACTCCATCGCCATAATCCCTCCACGTGCAGCCGCTCAGGTAGTAGCTGACTCAAAGTCACCGGCTCATTTTTCACCTACTTTATTTTTCACCGGTGAGACGTGATTCATGGCTTGGCGCTCCAGCTAGCGGGGGCTGGTCACCCAGGAGAATGACTGAAAATCCCCCGCCTGTACGCTGTGCTTTTCGGAGAGGGTCAGCCCCGTGACACGTCTCGGGGGGGCCATTCCCTTTGCGGATAAGCAGTGCTGTAGCGTGATCTTGGTAGGTGGGTGTCCTGTTATACTGTAAAGCTGTGTATATGCACTTCTCTTGTGATCGATGCTTTTTTTTAGAGGTTGGTGTACACTGAATACCTATGTAGACCCACCACGACATCTCTGGGGATAAGGGAACTCCCCCAAAACCATTTTTACCATAGACCATTTTTTCAGAAAGCCAAAAGCCACACCAGTATCAATCAAATGAAATTTACACAAAATATGCAGTGTAAGCACCAGCGATCAGTTTGGGTGGGGGGGGGGGGACTATTTTCTATTCATTTGAATGAGCTGTCACGTTTTTTTTTTTTTTTTTTTAAGGCAAAAATAGACTCCACTCAGGATTCAGAATGACTTCACACAACTTAGGCTTAATCTATTCATTGTGAAAACAGGAAATGGGGGGAAAAAAACACATACAATATAAGTACTGTGCGACAGCCAATGATCACCCGGCCTCAAGCTTGGAAGTTTGTTTAAACAGTTGTTCGGTTGTTTAAGATGCATGTCTCGGAGAAAAATAAGAATGCAATCGCTTTAAAGAAACAGTTGCTGTTTTTTTACATCAGTTGTGACCATATGCAGTAAATTCCTGCCGTTACTAGAATTCTCCTGAGACAGGATGTTTTATGTTCTTTTGAAAATGAAAGACGCTGCACATCTGAAACCCATTAGCCAAAGGAGCTGTTAGCGAGGGGAGAATTCCTCCAGTTTTCTTGGAATCCTGAAACTTTATTTTTCAGCTTTTTCTTTGTCTCCCTTTCCTTCTGCTTCTTTTTTTTTACCAGTTACAAGAATCATGGAATTCCTGAATGCCTTCCCAGGAAGTCTCACTGCATGGCCCAATGATTCTAAAGCTTTCTAAACGGATCCCATAGAGCGGACTCAGTCCTGTAGGCTCAGGCTGCATGTTTATAAGAAGCAGAAAAGTGTGCTAAAGGGAGCTGAGACAAAGCGTCCTATCAGAGAATGAGCCACGGTCACATGCACACCCACACTCTGATTGGAAGATTATACTCGCCCTCTGCGAAACAGCTTTTTTTTTCCCTGACACAAATGCACCAGTCAGTCCATGTGTATTTTATAAAAAAAACAGAACCTACACCACATTCTCTCACCCCTGAAGTCTTCCTTGTCTCCCATGCATTTTAAAAGTGCTGCATTCCTCTGAATCTGCATCACCGGACTGGCACATCTGCAGGGGAGCGGAGAGGAACGAGCGAGACTTTGTGTTGCAGGGGAAACCAGCCCTGTTTCAATTTAAAAAAGGCACAAAAGACATCAACGAATAGGAAGTTAAGGGTCCCTCTGCGCTCCTGAATGTCTGCTGTGCCTGTTTTTACACGACTGTGGGAGATTCCAGGGTCTGGGATGACACAGAAATGGCTGCAGCGTATGTGAAGCACAGGGAGCACAAGCGACTGCAGTCGTGAGACCACTGGTCTGGGAGGTCTGTCGGCCCCCGTGCCCCCCCCCCCCCCCCAACAAGCTGCACCTTCCTTTCAGCCTCGCTTGGGGGTTTCAGACACTTACCAAACAAAAGGATTCCTATCTTTATTTACACAGATTACATATATTTTAGCTCTGATTTCGCAGTCATACGCATAAGCCAAAGCTCCGGGAGAATTCCACTGAAACAGGGTGCAGACGTTTTCTGTGCGGATTAACGTCTTGGTAGTAAATGGTACTGTAGCATAATTACTGTGATCTTCAAGCGAGTAACACCGCAATTTTCCAGATGTTTGAGATTCACGGAGGATGTGTGGGTATATTTCTTTTTAACGAAACCTTATTAAAAAGCGTTTTTTTAAAACAGCACATTATTTGCGTAATTCATTTTTTGCCTTTAAAATAGATTGGAATATTGCTATGCATTTAGTGCATTTACATGGTTAGGATTACAATGAATTATTCCCGGGTCAGATGAGAGAGAAAAGATGGTTTAAGACATACTGGTCTTGGGATTAATGTGTATTTTTTTTATTGCAGCTGCTCTGGAAGTACAACGGTGTGACTGAATGTCTGTGGCCAGCCCTCTATCCCGCGCTGCCCCGTGGGCCTTAAACATTACTAGGAACAAACTGGGCCCAAAATCAAAAATGTGCTCTCTTCCGCACCCCCCCCCCATTCCTAATTCCACCCCCCCCAATCCACTACCACCTCTCCCCCCCCAAAAATCACAACACCACGAATCAAATGTGGCTCTTAGAAAGTCCGTGCAGAATCGGCCTGTGAGAAATGAGGCAGCTCAGGGCACAGGCTCGACCCATATGGGCACCAACTGTGTTCTCATCTGGTTTCTGTACGACTTGTCATTTCTTATATGCAATCATAGCTGGGAAACGCCCCAACTTCCACGCGAAACGAGGTACGATTTACTGCGTCTGCCCCCAGCAGTCGCCGTAAGGCTATCTTCTGTATGAGCGACGCTAAACAAACAAACTTCCATCGGTATGTGACAACTGGCGGGAGTGTTTTTTAACAGAGAGAACTTACAGGTCACCTTTGCAGTGTGCAGACGGCGGCTGCGTTTAATGTCTTTGTTCTCGAGGCCGATTTCTGCACGGCATCATGGTCAGGGATCATGTAGCTCTTTCACGGTCCCGAACAGGAGTCACCCTCCCAGGCCGCGTGCGTTTTATACGGCCGGCTCCAGGCGTCCCCGACAGCAATAATGTCCGCCGTGCCAAACGGGAAAAGACCAAAGCTGAAGCCTCACTTGTTCTCAAGTTGCCTTTATCAATGAAAACAAACACGGAAACCCAGCAGAAGAGAATGGAGGAAGGAGAGAAGAGTGGAGGCTAATTCGGAACACTGGCCTGGTCCCCGTGGATCAAGACAGCATTGCTTTGGTATGACACAGAGTGGGGGGTGGGGGGGGTGGATCTGTTTATGGAGGAGATAAAACACAGTTTGCTGGGGTGATAAATAAAAATTATCATTCACACCCCTAATTCTGCAACTGGCTAAGTGAGACCATTGAGGTCAAGAACACATAAAAATAATGTTTTTGACTTCAGTTGGCCACATCTGAAATCGTTCTTACATCTCGCTCCACCCGGGATGTGCGACTTTTATTCACCGTTTCTGTCAGTTTGCTTTAAAGTTTAATATGGCAGGCTGATGAAGCAGCAAAGGAGGAGCGTGAAAATTGAAGCAAGACTTCAATGGTAACTGTGAGGGAACATCATGAATGTCCTGAGTCCTCTGCATCGTGCTGTCGTGCTCCTCTCCTGAAGGACACGTCACTGGACATGCCGGCACTAGCATTCGCGAGGCACTCAGCTGCTCAGTCAGTTTGCAGATGTTCACTTCCTTTGTGCTGGAATGGCGCATTTGAAGGCTGTGGTGGAGAACAGATCTCCAAGTCACACAAGGGAGCTTTTCCTGACTCCCAATTATCTTTCAGATGTGCTTCACTTTAAACGGATCCCAAGATGTTGTGAGAAGTCAAAACACATGTTTGGACGACAAGCATTTTTACTCCTCGTTCTATTATTAAGGGAGACTTTTCACAGTAACCCGTCATTGTAGGGTATGATTTTTTTTATGCGATGTGTACCGGCATGTAACAGAACACAACATCCGCTGGCATGACGAGTCTCAGTCTCACAGTGGGCCCCATAAAAGGTGCCTGTATCTCAGCGCTTAAGCGACGCTGCGAGGTCCTGACAGTACTGTTGGCGGACGCTTCTTAAAATGCTCCTCAGTTCTGCTTCTCAGGGCAGGTGGCTCCACAGCCGGCCGGTGTAAGGAAGCCACATGACTTTCAAATGGAGATACGTGTGTGTATTAGAGTATCTGTGAGAGTGGGATGGAGGGAAAGAGGGAGAGCAGAGGAATGCGGTGGGTTTGCCCTGAAGTCCGTCAGCGACCCCCCTTTCTCTCATGCCTTAAAGAAGGACCTCCCTCCTCCCAATCAGGATAATGCTTTACCTTTCCCCCCTTTTTGTCACAAGGGGACAGTTCAATTCTTCATCCTCAAGCATTTACCCCATTTCTATTAGCAACTCTGGACTCACCTATCAGGCACTCCAGCAATTGCAAGGTATAGTACTGCTTCAAATTCGACTTATATTGAGCTCCAAGCTCTAGAAATCGAATATTGTGTCAATGTATTTATATAATAACCAAAAATGTCTATGTGCTTTAAAAACACGTCAGTAAATCTGCATTAATAGAATAATATGTCACCTAGGCTATAGCCCAGTGAAAAATAACTAATTTTAAACGTAATGATTTTATAATGATGTGTGTATATATATATGATCGCCGATCATTGTTGAGTAAATAGAATTTAGGAAGCAAACTGTATACTCGTGCAGATATAGAAAGCCGGGCTTAAGATCGAACCTTATATTATTCTAAGCAAGTTTCGAAATTACAATATAATGTACAATGGGAGAAATGTCTTGAGTAACGGGGCTGCATTGTACAGAGCGGTCTGCACGGCGGGGGGGGTTCGCCGCTGCTGTTAGAACGGGCGCACTTTGAAATAAATAGCTTAAGCGAATGGAAAATGTGTTCATATTTACATGAAAATAACACTGATATTTATCACTGAATCAAGTATCGTCTTCTTGCTTGTTGCATCTCTTCAGTTCTGTGGGTGTTTTTTGGTTCGTGTCGACTGTGTAAAATCGATTTTTTTTTTTAAATACGGGACTTTAATCATCGGAAGAACATTAATTAAAACGCGTGCAACCTTACGGACAGGGACGGATTATTACCTGTAGAAACGAAACGGAAGAAAAAAACTTTCTTTGTTCGGTGCTGGAATTCGTCCCGCCCCCATTCATTCGGCAGGCAGCGGCAGTGAGCCGGGCGCTGGGGCTTCGCCTGGAAGTTTAACGTAATCTCATATAAACCTGGGAATTAACCAAGTGCCGTCTATTTTCGCTTATGATATGGTTTATTAATCTCTAGAAGAAATGGTTCAAAATACACGTTTGAAGTTATCGATGTGCCCATTTTGCCACTATAGCAATTATCAGTTTAAAGTTAGATGATTGATATCTATTAAAATGATAATCACGTACTGTGCTTAATGGTGAAGAATAGGCTAATAAGGTTTTTGTATACGGAGCTGCTGCGGAGTGGCCGCGACTTGTCCGTGTGGCTGTATTTTGGAAGGAAGATGGAGAATGGCCATTATTATGTGCAGCATATCCATACTTTGTCAACGGCCGTTAAATGTAAAGTTTTTGTAATTCCTGAAAAATGTAATTCAGGATGCATATACTTTAAAACTGAAAATGCTCTTTCGGCAATCTTTACATTTCCCAAAAGTGCCTACTTCTTATATGCGTTTCCCACCCTGTCTCTGACCCAGCGCCGCGGTCTTGGGAGCCGCAGATAAAGTCCGCAAAGCCGCTTGTAGCCGCGGGGCAGGAAAAAGGCAGAGCGGGACCCCCGGAGAAGAGGCGCTAAGGGCATGTGGAAGCTCGGCAAGCTGGTGCTGGCATGGGCGGCCGTGTGCTGGGCAGCCCTCCAGAGCGCCCACGGCCAGGGGGACGGAAACTACCAGGCGAGCCGCTTCAGTGCGCCCACCGAGGAGAGGGAGGCGCAGAGGGTCCGGAGGAGGGGCCCCGAGTCGCTGCGGGGGTGAGTCTTTTGTTTCATCCCTGTTGCGAAAACTCCAGATTCAGCCTTGATTTAATTGTGACAACGCGGATAAGATTTTAGAGCCTGTAAGGGAAACATTTGATATATCGCTCCCACAGTTATTTAACGGGAATCGCCTGTTTCACATCAAATCTTATTTCAGTTTTAAGGCTTATCCACGATAAAACTTATTAGGCAAAGTCAGCAAGTTGTACAGCATACCTTTTGATAAATACAACTATAGTTCTATTGTGGATACTTTAATTCAGCAATGTTCCTTCAATAATTTGCCCAATGAATGTGGGACAGACTGGTTTTTATTTAACGAATGACTTCTCCCACAAAGTAACTGGATGACATAGATGTCACTGTTGTGTTTGCTTATTGTGCATGTTCGTGTGCTTCAGAAACAAGATGTTTTTTGTCCCGAATAGTTTAAGCCCCGTCATTCCCATTTCTTTCTCCCACAATCCCCGACTCCCCAGCCGAGCTGCGGAGGAAACTGTATTTCGATCGGTCTGATCCGCAACAAGGGGCGCTTGTTCAGTCTGCTGCAGGTGACAACGTAAAGAAAAACACAGCTCAGCCAAGCCAGCTTTCAGTAAAGAAAATAAATGCTTTTAATCACTAAAGGAAAATTGTGTAACATGGAACACGCCCCAGTGAAGTAATTTTTAAAACCTTCACAGTTCTCCGTAATGTTAACTTGAGTGTGCGAAAGTTTTTGAACTGTCAGTGATTTAGGTTTGCAGTGCAGGTGTTGGGTCTGTTAACAGCTGAGACGCTAACAGGCTCCCAGAAATATTTTCCTTTAACATTCCAAAACCAACAATGGGTTTTTTCACCCCCATAATGTGTCGTCCATTACTTGACAAGTTATACCTTTGTCACTTGTGTAGTTTTACTATTTCCTGCATAGACTTCATTTGGTCATTTGAAATATCAAGAGTCTTATGCTACTGAAGAGAGCCAAGTAAAGATATCAGACCATATTGCTCAAAAACGTTGCCAAAACAGCCAGATCATATCCAGACTCTTGATTCAACCCAGTTTGTTGTAGTCCATGGTCTATATTAATGGTAAATAAATCCAGTCTCCTTTTTTGCATAAAATCCATGCTGCCTTGGGCTTCTGCTTCTATACTTATCTTACTTGCAAAAAAAGAGTCTTTGTTGGTCCTGCTCCTTGTACCAGGGCAAGAAAAAACATATCGAAGGCACAGTACACATTAGCCATTATCTAAGAGCTCTGTTGGTAGCAGGAAGTGTGATCCATTGTCATAAGAACATAAAAAATTCACAAATGAGAGGGGGCCATTCAGCCCATCAAGCTCATTTGGGGAGAACCTAACTAATATCTCAGAGTCTATCTAGCAAAATCTTATCTAGCTCTGATTTAAAGGAACCCAGGGTTTTAGCTTGCATTATACTAACAAGAAGACTATTCCATACTCTAACTGTGGTTTGGTTATTGTCCAGTAACTTTTTAAGCATCCCTTGAGTTTCGGTGGATAGAAAAGAGTGCAAAAGTGGAAAGTGAGTCAGAGTTCGAGCACAATGATGTGATAGTGATTCTCTGAGCACGCTGGGCTAGTGTTTGTGGAGCACAGCTATCCCAGAAATGTCCATTACATCAGGCTATGGTTGCAGTGCAGCAATACGGTGTTGAGCAATAGTTGGCCCAGTGTTCCCAGCTATCCTGAGTCAGACGTTGCTAGATATCGTTATTGCTGTGAGTTTGAATGGGTCTGGTGTGCTGGCTTGCGTAGTAAAACCCAATTTGGACCATATCAGAAAGGACGTAGTGACCTAATCTCCAGGGGAGCTCCTGAACAGCACCGATAAGAACAGATCTGGAAGCTGAAGCCTCTGTCAAGAAAGTTGTTTGCACTTAAAAATGGCAAATGCCAATGAGTACGTATTAATGATTAATGACTCTTTGCGGTAACAGTGATTCTTTACAGCCGATTAGGTGAAGGGGGAGAGGTTTGTATATCCTATGTTTGGCAGTGTCTAAGCACAGAGGACTGCATTCAACACCTCAGGGTTCTTCCAAAGTCACCGTCAGTTCCACCCCATGGGCCAATGAGTTTTCTTCATCGCTCCTCGAAAATCCGCCTCGTTTGTTACTGATATCGCGTGATTGACAGTGAAATCGGAGCTAATGTCCCCAGCTGAGGGGAAACGGGCCCTGCTGATAGGTTAAGGGTGACCTATTTTCTGCTGCTGAAACCCCTTTCTGTTTATGTCAAAGTAGTAAATAGGTGGGAAGGAGGTAAAGAGCAGACAAGCAGCAGAACTCCTGAAATTCCAGATGTTCACTAGTTGTTGATGTTTTAGTCATCTGTTGTTTGTTTATATTAAACCAGTTTAATCAGTTTTTCCTCTGTAATTGATACCTGAATACATCCATCCATCCATTATCCATACTTCTTTATCCATCTGGGTCGCGGGGAAGCTGGAGCCAATCCCAGCATCTTCGGGCGAGAGGCGGGGTCCACCCTGGGCAGGCCGCCAGTCCACCACAGGGCCAACACAGACAAACAGCCACATACACTCGCATGCACACCTATGGGCAAGTTAGAGTAGCCAGCTGACCTAATCTGCATGTCTTTGGACTGTGGGAGGAAACCAGCGCACCCAGAGGAAACCCACACATGTACGGGGAGAACATGCAAACTTACCTGAATACAAAGAGGTACAATGTCGATTTGAATCATTGATTTTAATTTCTATCTTGGATTGGATTTGGCAAACAGATTTTTCTGTGAACTCAAATTTCAGCATCATATAGGCTTCAGAGAAGAATATGTGTATTTCAACAGATAAGACGGTATTCTGTATGCGTTTTGAGGCCCCAAACCAAGATTTGATCGATAACGACTGCGATGTTGCTACATCGATGGAGGTCGAGCTGCTGTAGGCTCCATGTCCTCATGTCTCGCGTAGCGTAGAATGAGTTTAGAATTGAAACCATCCTTGTGGCCGGAAAAGGTCAATGGCAACCTATGAGTAGCTTCTTTGGGTCTGGCGGAAGACGTTAAAGGACCCATTAATGTCAGACAGCAGAAGAACAGCAGTCATAGTCACTCAGAACAGAATGAAACAATGTTCTCCTAACTGGGGTCAGATGCCTTTGAAGGAAGACCCCTGACCCCCATGGAGTGGTGAGGCTCCTGAAGCGGGGGTCGCCCCGTTACTCAGACGGCCCCCCAGCCATGTGACTGCCCTGCCCACGGCAGTTGTTCGCACAGAGATGCTCTTTTAGATATTTTATCACCGGAGCCGGGAGCATCTCCTGGGAATTTAGCAGGTCAGCCATGACGTGACTACTTTCGGATCTCAGGGGACTCCCTGCTTTGGTCACAACATTGAAAGAACATTGAAAGATCTCTTAGATCTGCCTTCATTGCTTTCTGGTCATTTGTAACTGGTTCTGTCAGTTTCGAGTGGCATTTTCTCCTTTTCGCTTCACACTTATTGTTAGAAGCTTTTGCTGGATCTTTATGGCTCTCTGTGCCTTTGGGTTACTCAGAAGAGACAAAGAGCTCTTTCTCCTCCCTCCGGCGCTTGTCAGCCTGGTGTTTTCTGTCTGTATTTCAAATCCTCCCCGGAAGCAGCACATCTCTAAGGGAGCTGCAGGAAGTCCCCACTATGGCCCTTCCGTTGTAATATTTCTTTCTCGTAATATGCAGAAGCCTTTCTCTGCTTATACTGTCACCGTCTGTTAATACTATTTATTTGTCGTTTTCTTTGTAGTGGTTTATTTACTACTTACTTAATACCATTTTATTCTTTATGCTCTACTTTTAGTTAATTTATTATCAGTAATAGCACCCAGTACGTAAGCTACAGACTAAATTGTGTTGTACCTGTGCAGTGACAATAAGGGTATTCTGTGCTGTTATTGCTGTTAATCAGCAAACCCTTGGCTGACATCATCAAAGGGTTCTCAGAGTTAATTCCTTTTAAACTGAGGGCTGAAAACAGTGATGCTTGAATATGTAGATCATGTGCCCCAGCAAAGGTGCACAGACTTTGTGAGGAACGAGGTCCGACCTGACAGAGCATATGAAACAGCTTAAACTCTACCTCGGGCTAAATGCGTAATCCCCCAAATATGTATATATCCGGATTTCATGGACTGTTTGGGTCGTATTAGCGAAGCACGGTACCCATGAGCAGCTCTGGACCTCTCCTTCGCCTTGGGAATATGGAATGATGTACGTTTAAATCAAAACGTGTTTCAGAGTCTCTTAAAGATACATATTTCCCTTTCTGCCCTTAGATGTGTGTCATTGATCTCCTCTCCTTTTCTGTTCGTCCCTCTCTTCTTCCGTTCCCCAGTCCCTTGCCGTCCCCCTGCCTGTCTTGCTCTCTCCCAGTGAATCTTTATTGCCTCGACACTGAAACTAGTGCCATTTGGTCAAGTGGTTGGAGGTCCACTCAGCTTCAAGACACTTGAAAGATCCGGTTTACGGCTGGACTATAGCCGGCCTCAAACTTCTAATGCAGAAGGAGAGAGAGAGAGAGAGAGAGAAAGCGTGTCATGAACAGGCAGAAGATGATATTTGCTTCATTGTTGTCAACCCAACAGAGTACACAGGATTAGTGTGTGGTAAACCAGGGGTTTACATTTCATTCCAGCCTGGTTCTTTGTTTATGTGGCCTGTTACTATACTGTGGGCATGTGACTGAAAGCTCAATCAACACTGGTCTGCAACCATGTACATCAAACATATGTCAGTTAAAGAGATATGAGCGACCAGCTAAGGCTTTGAGCAGCACTGGAGGTCAGGTCGCTCTCTCTGTCAGCCATAGAAAGACGGGCCGGCTGCCAGAAATGTAGCACATTTGAAAGGAGAATGTAGGTGAATATAGGTATGGAGATACAATTCAGACCAATAGCTCTTAAAATCTGTGTGAGGGAGGTGGCCGTCGATGTCGGCCGTTTTCTCCGTGTCATGAGCTCCCGAGTCCTCGGAGCTGGACGCTCATCAGCCCATCGATTTGTTCCAGGCCCAATGTGTGTGGATCCCGGTTCCACTCCTACTGCTGCCCAGGCTGGAAAACTCTCCCAGGAGGAAACCAGTGCATTGTCCGTAAGTAGCTCCAGCGTGCCCAGCACAGTGGGGGGGGGGTCAGCATGGCGGGGGGGGGGCAGCCATGCCTGCAGCATTTCCCTTGCTACATGCTAACAGCAGGAGTCTAGACCAGGGACTGCAGATTTTATAGTCTCGCGGCAGCAGTATTAGATGATAAATCATGCTGCTGATTCTCTGGACTCTGGATTTGTTGTTTTCCGCACCCTGTGCTTTGCTATGGGCAGCTATTGGTTGCCTCAAACATTTTTTTTTTTGCTAATTGTCTCTTTTGCTGTCTTTCCATCCTTCCCAGCCATCTGCAGAAACACCTGCGGTGAAGGTTTCTGCTCCAGACCTAACATGTGCACCTGTTCCAATGGGCAGCTCTCTCCCAGCTGCGGCGCGGCGTCCGGAGGTCAGTTTTGCCCCACGGGGTCGGCCAGGTCGCCTGTGATCTGTCATGGGGGAGTCGGCAGGCTTCGTGAGGCTCGTGCCGTCTGCGTGAGCCGCGCTTGACGGAGGCTCTGTGGACGGCGGTGTTGATTGAGCGCCTCACTCGGATACAGGCTCCGTCACGCCCGGTCCTGTCAAGACCCCCTTCCCTGCACATCAGCCCCCCGACTTCTTTATGTGCTGGCAGCTCTGTGATGGGGGAGGGGGCTGCCCTGACGTCTCAGAATAGCGGCCTTTTCCTGGCGTTGGGAGGGGAATTACCGACACCGTTCGCTTTTCCCGGAACTAAATTTCGGATTCCATTTATTTTAAAGTTTTTTTTTACGCTTTACAGTTGAGATTTTATACAGTATTAGTTCTTATTCTAGGGACTTTTTTGTCTTTTTTCAGACTTATATGGTATTTATAATAAATATGTAGCGGCCTTTGCAGAATGAAATGGGATCTTTTCACATAAAATGAAAATGCAATTAATATAACATCCGGCATCTTTTAATCCAAGGTCACCTGTCATTACTGCATCTTTTGCATCAAATGTGTAAATTCCAGTGTGAGAAATTTAAATGAAAGCAACGTGAATGCAACAGATTTACCCAGAGGGAGTCACACTGTAGACTTTTGCCAGTCTACAGTATAAGACCAAATTCAGAACATATCTGTTATTTGAGAGTGTTATTATATGGCGTAACCATGACAACGGCACGGCACAACGCTTGGGAGACTCACTCCTCATAAAGAGCGTCACTAAAGGATCCACTCTTTGTTTCACAGCACCCCTCTGAAATGTACCATTCCTCCATTTCAGTGAATAATAGTCTTAATTACTTTACCTTTTCTTATTTTAGCACGTAATACACACTCAGCATGAACCGTTTGCTTAAGCATCAGATTTCCCTCAGATATTCTGAAAATCTACTGTGACACTAATTAGGTGTAATTGCCGTGTTAGTTTATGGAGAATGTGGAAAGTACGTATTAAATTCCGCCATCAGATTTCACTCATCATGCCTTACTGGTGTCATTCCTGAGCGCAGGCCGTGTGTTGTCATTGCGTACCACTCTCTGGTTTTCTCTGCAAACAGCAAGTGCTTCACCATTTCTAAACCATAGGATACTGTCCAGCATAAAAAAGAGAAGCTTTCTTCAGTCTCTCGAGTGTTCCTTTACGTATATGTTAATATCTTTGCCAATGAGCTCTCCTTTCCGGAAACATCTGTAAAAATACAGCATAGATATAGTTATGGTAAATACAGCCCACAGGGGCCAACTGGCGCATAGCAGGAAGAAGGAACACAAGCTTTTAATCAAGTCCCCGCTCCGTCGCTGGTCAGGCCAAACCGAAGCGCGCATGCCCTTGTAGCCCCTCCCCCCAGACCCGATAGCTCCCGGACGGACGCATCTTGAGCCGGGGCAGTGGGGGCCTGATTAATCTGAACGAGTCCCCACTGATTTGTTTCACTTAGATGCTTTAACAGCCAATGCTCTTGGCTTGAGGATTCCATAGGTCACAGCGGAGCTGGGCTGTGTTTCCCAAAACCTACAATCAACATAACTTAAGAATTTAATGTGAGGACCCTCAGACGGATTCGGTCTCAGAGTTAAGCCCCTGATGTCTTAAGATCCTGGCCGCGCCCCTCTCACTAGACTAGGGTCACTTGACCAACAAGAGCCAGAGTTTATTGAGCATGTGAGGGTAGACTCCATTTCCTATTGCCATTCACAGAGAGACAACACGCACATCCAAACACGAGTTATAATATTAGAACTGTGACTGGCGTAAAGTGCATATCCTGAGTATGGAGCCATTAGTTAATTCTGCATTGACTTGTGTCACATTGGGACCCTTGTAAACAAGGTAGCAGTATGAACGCGCCCCAGCAGGAGGCGCTGTGTTCTTCTTGCTCAGCCGTCTTGTCTCACCATGCAGACATCGCGCGAGGCCTACGCAGGTGCAGGGCGATCGCCTTACATTTGCGTGATGCACCGAGCTCCCACAAGCGGGACCTTCAGTGTGTACGGCTAACGCGCTGATGAAATGGGGTGTGTAAAGTGAGCGCGGATAACCCCCCCCCAGGTGGCCTTCCAGCTGGTCAGGCCCCCGCTTCCCACACTCCGGGTTCTGGTGAAGAGCCGTTATCCTCCGTTGGCTCAGCTTGGAAAGAGACACCTGCTGGAATCACTCGCCCCTGAGCGCCCCCCCCCCCCCCCCGTGTGGAGTCGCATGCTCCCTGGTTCTAACAGCACGTCTCCCCTTCCAGTTCAGTCCTGCAACGTCAGATGCATGAACGGCGGAAGCTGCAATGAGGACTCCTGCCTCTGTCAGAAGGGTTACACGGGTGCACACTGCGGCCAGCGTGAGTATCCTCCACGCCCCCCCTTCTTTCCGGCCCCCTCCGGCACTTTGGCACACGGTTGATGTCCCGTTCTGCTCTCTTCCCAGCCGTGTGCGAGAACGGCTGCCAGAATGGAGGTCGCTGCATTGGGCCCAACAGATGTGCCTGTGTCTACGGCTTCACTGGTCCGCAGTGCGAGAGGGGTAAGGCCGCCTCTGTCTCCGGGGAACCTCTGCCTTCAGGGAACCTCTGCCTTCGGGGAACCTCTGTCTTTGGGGAACCTCTGCCTTCGGGGAACCTCTGTCTTTGGGGAACCTCTGCCTTCAGGGAACCTCTGTCTTTGGGGAACCTCTGTCTTCATTTCTCCACATGGACATTACATACAGTGCTCAAAGAAAGTCTCATTGGGTGCTTTTTAATTAGTAACACCTTTGCAATAAAATAAAACACCAAACATTTGTTTTTAATACCCCTTTGTTAGCCAATAACCACAGTTGCAATGATAAATAGCAGGAACAGAACGGAACTGAGTCAGTCAAAAAATTATGACACTTAAAAAGAAAATGTCTGTGTGGATGATATGTGCAGATATGTTTCACATTGCTTGTCAATGGACTTTTTCTATGAAACCAATGTATTAGCAACGTTATTACAGAATTATGCAAGCGTGCCAAGACTGTGAGCGCTGTGCTTTGTATTTATTGGAAGGCATGCAGAGCACAGATGCGGAATCACCGTTATATCCACACCACCGCAGTAGTTTGTCGTGCAGCAGTTTATAATGCATGGAGACTGCTTGGTCGTAGCACTAACAGTGGTCATGCATCAGAATCATTGGCTCCGACTGTTAAGCTCCAGCTATAAAAAACTGGAGGGATTAAGCAAGAGGGTTTGGCATCAGTGTGAAGGAGAAAGGGATTGTACAGTAGGGCTGATCCTCCAGGGGGCTGGAGAGCTGGAGCCCCGCTGGGCAGAGGGAGGAGATCACTGGAGGCCCCGCCCTCTTCCCTCACCTCACCCCAGCCGCCCTCTCTGACCTCCCCACCCCAATCGTCTCTAGGCTTGTTTTCTCAAAAAACACAAATAGTAGTGGACGGACTTTCAGACATCTGGCAGTAAACAGAGGTCCTCCAGATGACAGGAAGGCGTTTCTTTGTGGTGCTGTGGACATTTCCTGATGAGGACTAGAGTATAGCTGGGTGGCGTCGGGGGTGTAAAAATTGACTCCCCAGCTGTGCTCACACAGCCGGCCTCAAGCTGGGACAAACAGTCTCGTCTCCATGCTGAGCCATGGCTGAAGAGTAGCTTCAGAGGGGGTGAGTCCAACCCTAAATACCCTCAGTGATGTCCTAAATAGTTATAAATGTCCCTGTTCTCTGTGATGTCCCCAACAGTTATAAATGTCCCTGTTCTCAGTGATGTCCCAAACAGTTATAAATGTCCCTGTTCTCAGTGATGTCCCAAACAGTTATAAATGTCCCTGTTCTCAGTGATGTCTCAAACCATTCTAAATGTCTCTGTCCTCAGTGATTCCCAAGCCATTCTTCCTGAGCTGCATTACATTTGACCTTAGAGAGGGTCATAAATTTGTCCGTTTACACTTTCTGTGAAGTTTGTGGTGCAATATTTCACCACAAACAAAATCATTCTTAAAATCTCTAAGTGGTTAGAGATGAGTGGCCTTCAGACTGTGCAGAAATAAACAGCAGAGGTGGAGTTGGAGGAGCGTGCCGTGGTATTTTAATGTGCGACATCCATGAGTCAGTGTGACCTCATGGACAGACCTCCACATCTGTTAGGGGAAAAGTGAGAAGCGGAGTCCCACTGGAGTGAGGCTGCAGTGGGCCGGGTGGGGGGTGGGGGTACTGAGCTGAGGGGTGCCACTGCATACAGAGGAGGGGAGCGATATGGTGCATAGGGCACACTGTGATTGGGGGGGGGGTTACAATGTACATGGAGGAGTGAGTTACAGTGCACATTGAGAAATGGGGGGGTGAATTACAGTACACACTGAAGAGTGGGGGAGGTGAATTACAGTA